CGTTTCTCCTCACATCCAACCTGACTCTGCCCTGGCTCAGCTCAAGGCCATTCCCTCTAGTCCTTTCTCTGCAGCCTTGGCAGGAGAGACATCCCCCACCTCTCTCCAACCCTGTCAGGGAGCTGGAGAGAGCCATGAGGTCACCCCTGAGCCTCTTCTCAAGGCTGAACAAACCCAACTCCCTCAGCCCTTCCTCGGGTGCTCCACACCTTTTCCGCCCTCGTTGTCCTTCTCTGTACTCTCTCCAGTGCCTCAATGTCCTTTTTGCAGTGAGTGCCCAAACCTGACCCCAGCACTGAGCTGTGACCTCCTCAGTGCCCAGTCCAGGGGATGAGCACTGCCCTAGTCCTGCTGCCACACTGTCCTTGCTCCAGGCCAAGATGGCCTTGGCCTCCTTGGCCACCTGGTCACACTGGTGGCTCACACTGAGCTGCTGCCACCAGCACTGCCAAGTCCCTTTGTGACCAACACCTCTCCAGCCTCTCCTCCCCCTGGAGGAGGCTCCAGCCTCTCCAGCCTGGAGCTCTGTGGGGGTTGTTGTGTCCCAAGGGCAGGACCAGCACTGAGCCTGATTGACCCTCCTGCAGTTGTCCTCAGCCCATAGATGAGTCCATCCAGGTCTCTCTGTAGAGCTTTCTTGCCCTCAGGCAGCTCCACACTCACACCCAGTTCAGTGTCTCTGCACCAAGTCTCTCAATCCCCATGTCCAGATCATCAATAGAGATGTCAAACAGGTCCTGCCCCAACACTGAGCCCTGGGGAACACCACTGGGACAGCCCTAGTTGGATTCAGCAGACCCCTCAGGCACTGTACCCAGCCCAGTCTGTAATGAGCAGGGAAGTCTCAGGCTACTTTTTCCCCCAGGACATATGTGTTTCAGGATTTTACTTCATTTTCCTTTGTCGGGGTAGAGAAGAGAACAGTTCCCAGTCCCTACTCATAAGCAGATGACCAGGAGTGTCTTAGAAAGAGCAACTTTTATTAGAAAACAATAAAGGCACAGAGAAACCCAAGTCCTTTCCACAGCCCAACAGCAAGGTCAGATCCAGGGGCAGCAGCACAGCCCCACACCCAATTTGTCACCTTAGTGGTTGCTCAAGGCACAGCCCATGTACAGAGAATTGCCCCAGCACAAGGATTTGAGCCCTTTGCCCATGCACCCCAAAGCTCTGAGACAGCACCCTGAAACCCTGCTGGGTGGGCTCAGCAGCCTGGGAAGGGCAGCATCTGGGCAAAGGGCTGTGAGGATGGGCAAGAGGGATTTAGGGTCTGCAGAAGGGGCACAGCACAGGACACTCAGCTCCATGAACCCCCAAGCCAGGGCTGTGGCCAGCCCACCCTCACTCTGGCACTGATGAAAAGGGTCACTGCTTGCAGGGGGCAGGGGATGGGGGTAGAGGGACAAGTCTCTGGTTCAGCTCTGTGCTGGAGGGAAGCACCAGGGCCATCAGGTCCACCCTTCTTCCATGAGGCATCTCCGAGCTCCACCAGCACTCATGGCACTTTGCAAACACCTTTGGTTGGGTCCCTCTGGCCGTGACAGCTTGGAAGGAGGTGACATATCTGCCCCACCTCACCCCACACGAGCCAGGCAGCAGGGTGATGGCCCATCCATGGATGTGCAGCTGAAACTCTCTTGCCCAGGCAGCTTCTTGCCCCACTGACATCCTCCAGCTGCAAGGGAGATGTGTGGGCTGATCTCTCTGCAAGGGCAGTTGTGGGCACAGCAGGGATCAGAACAGCAAAATGTGGGAAGACAAGGCAAGATTCTGCGTTCAGCACGTGCAAGAAGCCTCCAGGGCTGGGCACCCCTGGACAGGCAGGGAGTGAGGACTGGGGGCCCAGGGAGACTCTTCCAGCCTTCTTCCTTCCCCTCCCACAAGCAGAGCACCTGGGAACTGGGTGCTCCCACGTGTGGCACTGGGAGTGGCAGTGACTGCTGGGACCTGGGTGCTCCCATATGTTTCACTGGGACCTAGGTGCTCCCACATGTGGCACTGGGACTGGTGGCAGTGACTGCTGGGACCTGGGTGCTCCCACGTGTGGCTCTGGGACTCTGGTGACAGTGACTTCTGGACGGTTGGATAGGGCTGGGCTTTGGTCTTCAGAGCAAACCAGTTTTGCCCAGGTGATCTGATGTTACAACTGGTATTATTGCAACTGGAAAAGAAAGGGAGAAGCAGTGAGGTCAGGCCTGAGACTGCAAACCTCCCAAAGGCAGGATCCTCCCAACCAGGACCCAACCTGCCCCCAACAGGGGCTGGGGCAGGGCAGGGATCCCCTAAATCCTACCACATGCCACTTCCCTTCTTCTCCCACTCCAGACTCCTCCTCACCCTTACAGCAGTCTCCAGCTGTCCCCTCCTGCTGACTCCCCCACGTCCTGGGGTCCTGGGTGTCCCCCATGTCCCCTCTCCCCCCACAGCCTGGTGCTCTCACACCTGCCCCAGGGGTGATGCTCCAGTGGGCAGGTCCTGGCTCTGCCCCTGGCTCAAAGGATTCAACAGTTTTCAGAACAGATCCAGAAGTACAATTTGGGTACAAATTGCAAGAGGGAAATTGAGATTAGATCTTAGGAAGAAGTCTTCCCTGTGAGGGTGGTGAGACACTGGCACAGGTTGCCCAAGGAGGCTGTGGATGCCCCAACCCTGGCAATGTTCATTCAAGGTTGGCTAAAGCCTTGAGCAACCTGCTCTGATGGGAGGTGTCTCTGCCCAGGGCAGAGGGTTGGCACTCGATGACCTATAAGGTCCTTTCCAGCCCCTAAAATTCTCTGCTAAGTACCTTGGTGTCTCCAGGGGTGTTTCCAGGCTGCTTTACCCACACATCACGCTTTTGCAGGCTGTTGATGCTCCTGATTTCCTGCAAACAGGAGAGTCCTAAGTAGCACAAGAAGGTTTTCCTCATGCGTCTTGTGCAGTGTTGCCTTGTTTTGACACATCCTCTGGGTGAAACCAGCCAGCTTTGAGATCCTGCACCTGGTAGACCCTCACAGCCAAGCACAGCTCCAGCCCACAGGGATAGAACCTGCTCAAGGATCTACAAGCTTTCCCCAGGAGTGACCCAGGAGCAAACCCTTTCCTGGCAGACCCAGATCCAGCACAACGACCCAGAGACAGGTTTGGGCAGTCCTGATCTCTGCAGCTCAGCCCTGGGGATCTCCAGGATTGCCTCGTCTACTCATGGCGCTGTGCTGGAGTTGCCCCTTCCTGGTCCTGTACCCAGGAGGCTGCAGGAGACTCTGCTATGAGCAGTGGCCAAACACCTCATTGCTGTAAGCAATGACACCTGCCCAGGGCTTGCTGAGCACCTCCTTCCCAAGAACAGTGAACCACCCTGAGGCCAAAGGCTCTCCTGTCCTTCTCCTGTGCATCCATGTCCATGGAGTGGCCACGGCGGCAACACAATGACCTCTGAGGCCCCTTAGCTGGGCACTTTGCCCCCACAGCTACAAGGGACCCTATTTTGAGGGCTGGGATGCACATTGGGGTGCAGATCACCCCAGCCCACACATGCAAAGGACCTCTCAGTGCCCACACAGGTCTCCAAGTTCTCAGAGCCCAGTGCTGAAGGACAGAGCATACAGTTCACCTCCCAGTGGCCTCAGGGTCAGAGCTAGCCCTCCAGACACTGGCAGAGATGGAATCATGCTGGGGTGGTCCTCTCACAGGTGACAGGGTCAGGTACCTCTACATGTCCTGGTGCACGTGTATAGGTCCTACATGTCCTGGTGCCTGCTCCTGCTCAGCCCACCAAGGGCTGGGAGCAGCTGTTTGAGGCTCAGGATCAGAGCACAGCAACAAGCAGAGCCCCAATACCTCATCCTGGTGGCTCTGCAGTACCAGACCTCCAAACCTGGCTAAGCTCTCAAACCCTTTAATGGCTTGAGCCTTGGATTCATCAACCCTTCAAGCTCCACCACCCCAGACACAGGACCTTGTCCTGCCAGGCTGCCTGGTCTCAGGGCTCTTGCCTGAGGTGTTGGCACAAGGTGGTACCTTGCTCTGTTCCTCCTTGGCAGGCTCCTGAGCTCGGCTGATCCACAGATTGATGCGAGATGTCACCGATCCTGGGATCTTCAGGTTGTCCTATGGCACAGAGAGGGACACCAGGGAGAGCACCAGCTCTGCACAAACATAACCCAGGACGGTCCCCAGGGCTCGGGGAGCCTGAGCAGAGCTGCAGCAGGCAGAGAGCAGCCCACACACTGGCTCCAGCCCAGCTCCTCACATAGCAGTGCATCCCACAAACCCACACACTGCTGGAGCAGTTTGGGTGCCCCAGCCCAGCCCTGCCTGGCACTGCTCAACAGCACCCAGCTCCCTCCAACCTGCAGCCTGCCAGGCTCCGGGTGGGCACCCAAAGAGGGGACCCCAAAAGCTGCTGCCTGCCCTGGCACAGAGCCCTGCTGGGAGGTCCTGCCCTTACCTTCCTCGCAGCCAGCGGCTCAGCTTTGCTGGGAGCACTTGACTCGAAGAAGTTGCGCTTGCTGGCAACTCCCTCCGAGGGCAGCAAACGGCTCTTCTGCACAGGCACCGAGGATTTCGCCCCCTCCGAGCGCTGGGAGGAGAGAGAGGCGTCAGCAGGGCTGTGCTGCCCCCCGAGTGGTGAAATAAAGTCCTGCTTCTGGCTCATGTCTGAGCCCTCAGGCTCTGCTCCTTCCCTGCCCATCACCAGCTCACACACTTGCCCCACTGCTCCCCCCAGCAGGACTCTGCAGCATCCCCATGAGCCTCTCCCTTCCCTGCTCCTAAACCCCTGAGGCACATCCCTTTTTTTTTGCCTTGGATCATCAACCCCATTAGCTTTGCAGCTCAGTCCCTCCCACTCAGGTCCCTCCTCTCCCTCTCCCCACTCGCTCCTCCTGCAGCAGCCTGGCTGTGCCAAGGGGTTTTGGTACCTGCACAGCTGAGTTGTACTTTTCCAGCTTCTCCCCAATGGTGTTGCTGCTGCCAGGGATCCTCAGGCTGGCACTGGGGAAGAAGAGGGGAGAGAGTTGAACACAGCCCCCTCAGGATCTCCTGGCACTCGGCCCATGGTCCTGGGGAGCTGCACTTGGCAGGAGAAGACTCAGTCCCATCTAAGCACTCCTGCATCCATCTGCTGAGTGAACCAAGGCAGCTCATACCCTGCTGGTGACCTCTCATGGGTCTCACCATCTCACAAGGACCAAACTGTACAGTGAAATATCCCTCTGAGCTCTTCAGTTCACCCTGTTGTCACCACTGCCAGGTCTGAACTGCATCTCCACCCATTTCAGTATGAGTTGCCTACAGGTGCAAGTCCAGCTGTCCATTAGCCCCACTCAGAGGTGGGAGAAGGCATCCTATCAACTCCCTTCATTCACACCTTAGCCCTTGGTTCCTTGAGTTTTTAAGCCACCTGTCCAAACCTTCCATGGAGATGTGGAGGATCCCTTGGTCTGGCCACCAAAGCTAGGTCAGGTTGCTCATGGACCTGCACAATCTGGATATCTCCAGATACCACAGATAGGACCTGCTGTGGTGCTCAACTCAACCACTCCTGTGCAGACACAAACACCAACATGGAACTACATGACCCAAGAGACATCAGGGGCTTGCTGGGGGGATTTTGGAGCAACCTGGAAGATGTCCCTGCCCATGGAAGTGGGGATGAAACTAGATCTGTACGGTCCCTTCCAACCCAAACCATTCTGTGGTTCCATGACCAGATGCAAGCTGGAAATTGGACATTGTCCTCTCTAAGCATCACTGCCTGGTCAAGCACCCGAGGGACCAATGTTCAGCAGACCTGTGCCAGGGCACTCACTACTTCCCAGGTCCCATCACCTCCTGCCCTGGAAAACAAGGGATGACAATTCCTGCCCAGCAAAACCAGAGTGACATGGAGAGGTGCTGACCTCCTTGTGAGAGGACTTTGGCTTTCCTCATTCTGCTTTCTTGCGATGACCTGAAAGACACAAGGAGAGGAGAAGTCAAAGCCAACTTCGGTTATCAAAGCTAAGCATGGGAGAAGCTATCTCACTCATCTCCCCCATTTCCAAGCAAGCTCCATTTGCACCCACACCAGAGCTTATCTCACATCTCAAAGCTCCCCAGACTAGAGAAGCTTTGTAGTGACAACAGTTTTCCTCCCAGTGAAGCTCCATGAAAGTCAATGAAGCACAGCCAGTCAGCCCTGAGTCAGAGCAGGGAGGAGCTCAGCAGTCTTCCCAGCCTCTCCAGCCTCTTTATTCCAGAGATATTTGGTGGGGCAGAAATTGAAGATGTGCTCAGGGTTCTAACAAGGGACAAGAGGGAGGATGGGGTTTTTTTTCATCTGTGATCTCAGATAAAACTAGAAAAGCCAGAGCATGGATGGAAATTCATGGAATCAGAGAATAACGTTGGAATGGAATGGGTTGGAATGGACCTTAGAGATCATCCAGCCCCAACCCCTTGCCCTGGGCAGGGACACCTCCCACCAGAGCAGGTTGCTCAAGGCTTCATCTGACCTGGCTTAGAACACTGTGGTTGGGGCAGCCACAGCCTCCCGGGGCAACCTGTGCCACTGTCTCACCACCCTCACAGGGAAAACTTCTGCCTAATATCTAATCTAAATTTCCTCTTTCAATTTCTCCCCATTCCTCCTTGTCCTGTCTCTGCAGCTCCTAACCAAGAGTCCTCTGCAGCTTCCCTGGAACCCCTTCAGATCCTGGAATTCCTGCGACTCTTTGGAAATTCCAAGGACAATGAGCTAGCTCCCTGTTTACTCATCACTTCCCAAAGGTTTCCTGGAGAGCACAAGATATATAAACATGGGCATAATCATCATCACAGGCCTTTGGTCACACACAGAGAAGGAAAATGAAGGAAAGACTGAAGCAGAACTGCCATGCCCAGACCAAAGTGGGTTTAGAACCCCCTTTTGGGAATAGGCTCTGCCAACATAATCCAGAGGCCAAATCAACCCTTCCTTCCCCATCCTCTACTGCCTAAATGAAGGTCTTTCCCCCTTGCCTAAGCTCTTACCCGGAAAGAGACAGTCCTTGGGCTGGTTCTTCTGATGGAGCTGCTGTAGGTGACATTAGTTGCAGAAAGGTCTGGCTTCTCTGCAGGTTCAGCTTGGGTGGGAGACAGCTGGATTACCTGCTTTGAGGGATTCCTGGGTGGCTGCTGGGGAAAAAGCAAACATCAGGTGGATTCCTGCAGAGTCTGCAGAGAAGGCTGAGGGGAGGGAGTAGAGATGTCAGGGTGGGAACTGGTTTGGAGGCAGGAGCTTGACTTCCAAGTCCCCCAGACCTTGGCTGCCTCACTTGGAAATACAAAGCCCCAAACACCTATTCTGTGAAACCACAATGGCAATCAGGAATGGCTTGATGGAGAAAGTGATCAGAATAATGCAGGTGAGGGGGGGAAGGGAGGTGGTGGCACCATGTCCACCAAGTTTGCAGCTCTCAGAACCTTCCCAAAATCATAGAATCATAATGTATTAAGGAGCTGGAATGGAGCTTAGACATCATCCAGCCCCGACCTCCTGCCCTGGGCAGGGACACCTCCCACCAGAGCAGGTTGCTCAAGGCTTTAGCCAACCTGGAATGAACACTGCCAGGGCTGGGGCAGCCACAGCCTCCCTGGGCAACCTGTGCCAGTGTCTCACCACCCTTCACAGCAAAAACTTCTGCCTAATATCAAATCTCAGTTTCCTCTTCCAATTACTCCTCATTCCTCCTTGTCCTGTCACTGCACTTCCTAACAAATCCCTTAGGTCTCATTTCCCTTCTGGTACCTCTGGGCTCTCCCTCTCTCTGTTGTCCTTCCACACCCAGGACCTCTCACCCCAAGGGCTTGCTGCTCACCTGCTGGTCCAGAGATGAGGTTGTCTTCTCCTCTGTGCTGCGACTTCCCTGCCTGGTCAGGATCTTCACTTCCCGGAGGCGGCAGGTGCCAACTTCAGGCGGGCCCTGAACCTCCTTTCTCTGCTCCCCGTGAGGAGTCCCCACACCTTGCTCTTCTTTCTCCTGGAACCTTCCCCTCATCACCACCACCTTCCTCTCAGGGGCTGGCTCTGGGTTCTGGTCTCCTGGTGGGTCCTTTCTGCCCTTGGCTGCATCCTGATCCCTCTCTGCAGCCTGGATGCTCCTCTGCCTCGTGCGTGGCTGTATCCCTGCTTCCCTGCAGCTCACTCCTGCTTCCTTGCAGCTCACTTTCACTCCTGGCTCCTGCTGCTCCTTATCCTGTCTCAGCTTCTCCGAGACAGGCTGCAGGCACCTTGTCCTTCTCCCTTCTTGTGTCTTCAGCACCTCCAGAGGCTTTCGCTCTTCCCCATCCTCTGAAGACACTGACTTCACCAGAGACTGAGGTCTAGAGACAGGGACAGAATTAGAGACAAACCTCAGCATCCTGGGGCCACAGAGATGGCTTTCCTGCTGCAAGCAAGGTTAATCCAGGGAAAAAGCTCTGATGGAGACACAAAAATCCCACCAATATCCTGGAGTCCTCCCTGCAGCCCAGGACATGCAGCCATGCTCATCCCCACCACCCCAGTTAGGCTCTCCAAGAACAAATTGGGATTAAAAATCTCTTTTTTCCCCTTTTTGTGGCAGAGATTAAGTATTTCTGCAGCCTCATCACAGGCCACATCATCCACCAACCCCTGTACCAAGGATGTGTGGGCTCAGGGCAGAGTGCTGGGTCTGCAGCTGGATGAGAAGTGGCTGTGACTCTTCACTGGACTAGGAAAAATCCCACTAGTTTTGAGTCTGAAGTGTTGGTTGTGAGTCAGTCTGCTATGGCAAGGTCCAAGCACAGTCCTAACACAACCTGTGAAACAGTGATTTCCCTCCTTCCAACTAGCAAACAGGCCCCAGGTCTGGGAAGGGGCAGAGGGACACCTGGCCAGGGCCATGCAGTGTCTACACTGTCTCCAAGACTTGGGAAGGAGATAATATCTGCCCTATTCCAGAATTGCAGTGACCACATGGTCATCCTCCCCATGGAAGGGACACTTTTCCTACCCACCTTGTTCATATTAGTCATGACCAGCCCCTACCTGACCTGGATCCAGCCCACACATCCTAACTCCATCCTGTCTGAAACACAGGGAAAAGCCTCTGGAACATGAGTGTCACTGTGGTCACAGACTGTCTACATACTGGAATGGGTCATGGTGTGCAAGGGCAGTCTGACCCCACAGCACCTCCAAATCCCAGCTCCCTGCAGCCAGGGGCTTTGGGAGCACCACTGGCAAGCCCTTGGGTCACCTCCCACTTCAGCAAAGGTCACACAAGATCCTTGCAAGGTTCCGAGGAGGAGCAGGACAGTCAGGCAGGCTCTGCATGCCCTGCAGCCAGGCCCTGCTCACCTGCCCTGCAGAGACACCTCTTACCTGCTCCAGATCCCACTAGGGCATGGCCAACACCCATCTGAGTTCAGCTGAGGACCAGCTGAGCACCAGCCCTCTCCCTGGCACACTGTTTGCCTGTGCCATGGACATGTATCCCCTCTTGCACTCCTCCTGTGGAGCACATCCTTCTGCCCAAAGGCCTGTTGGACCCCAGCTCTTCCCACAGCTCAGCCCACTCTCAGGCAGAACAGACTGCCACCAACTGCAGCAGCTTTGGCTCAGCAGTGAGAAAAACAAGGCAGCAACCTGAGAGCTGCCAGCATCAGGTGCAAGCCTGAACCCAGCAGGACCCACAGACCTGCTGGAAGCTGGGCTGGTGTCCTTCGCAGGGCTGAGAGGTTCTTCATCTGTCGATGTGGAGGACAGCAGGCTCCGGTGCCTTCGTCGACGCTCCCTTTGCTGCTCTTCCTCGTCCTCAAGGGTCCTCTGCCTGGCCAGGCTGTTTGGGAGGAAACAGAAGGACATGGTGAGGCTGTGTCCTGCATGGGGAGCCTCCAACCCTGGTGCCAGGCAAGAAGGGAGACTGAAACACCCTGGGCAAGGCTAAGGAGCTGAGGGCAATTGCCTTGCATGGGGCTGGAGGAGAAGGATGCCAACACAAGCCAAGTGTCTCAAAGTGATCTAACTCCACCCAGCTGGTGTAGACATTTCCCAACACAAGCACTTGACTTTACAGCTCCTAATTCCTCCTGCTGGATGGAGCTCTCATTCCAAAGGAATCCCTACATTAAGCAAACCTTCTGGGGGAAGGATATTGAACTCAGCAAGAGCAGGACCCTAGAGCCACCACACAAGCCTTGACCACATAAACCGGAAGGGTAACCACTAGTGGTAGAAGATTTTAGCCCCAATGCAAGTCGTGGCAATGGCAATTTTATTTTTAGAGAGTAAAAAGTCTCAAATGCAAAAAGTACCAGAGGCTGAAGGCAAATGCTGAGATGCTGTGCCTGGGAACGGGGCTGGCAGGGACTCCTGTGCCTTCCCGCTGGGGCTGGACTGGGAATTGTTTGTAACACACATTGTACCAAAAAGGCAAGGTTTTAAGAAAGGTTTAAAACGTTTAAGTGCCATATTTAAACATTTAATTTTGCACAAGCCAAATGTATATTTTTTTAGATGAAAAATGCCACCCTGAATAAAAGCTGTTTGGAAAACAACATCTTTCTCTTCCTTTCCCAGTGCCAAACCTGCTCACCCTCTGTGCCGGTGCAAGGACTGTGTTGGAAATGTTTTCTTGGCTGGATTGAGCTTTTCACACATTTTTTCACAGCATTTTCCTCCAGCATGAGTCCTCACCCAGCCACAAACAGACACCCCATGGAGCTCCAGCACCCCAAGAGCTCTCCCTGCGCGGGGACCATCCATCACTTCCCCAGCTGTGCCAGGGGCACTGCAGGGTCAGCCAGGCTCGGGGCTGCTCTCAGCTTGACTTTAGGAAGGTGAAAGTCAGAGCGGGTGGGAGCAAACGGCGCTGCAGACGGCACAGCGTGGCCACGAGTTACTGTGTAATCACAGCTGGGT